CCCGTGGGCACCCAACCGCCCTGTCCCGGGCCCCAGCTGCTCCTGCTCCCGTGCGGAGGGCGCTCTCCCATGGAAACCTCCCCACTGGGCCCTGGATGCCGCGGCAGGGAAAGGGAGGCTTTTGAGAGCTGCGAGACATGTCAGGAAAGGGCCAAGATCAGCCCCGAGGAGGGCAGCCTTGGGATTTTCCGGGGCCGGTGTTTTTTTCCAGGCTAGAGGGGCAATGCGGTCTCTCCATGTCCCTGGAAAGGGGATGCCAGAGCAGCTGGTGAACTTCCTGCCTCCTTGTGTGTGTGTTGCCTTGCTCCCTGCATCATCCACCCGCAGCGGTGCAGGCCCGGGGGCAGCTGGTGGAGGCTGGCAGAGGGCTGTGAGTGCCCAGCGGCTCTGTGCAGCTCTGCTGCCATGGATCCAGTTTCAGCCAGAAAACCTACCGGGGGCTGCAGTCCTGTCAGGCCCTTGGTTCTGGCCTCAAGTGGGCCTCCTGCTCCAAACATGATTTACGCAATACGTGCTGGTGGAGGAGGGTTGAGCCGTGGCCGCCTGGAATAATCCACGGGCAAAGGTACCTCTGGCCCTGCATGCCCTGCAGCCCTGGGACTCCACCTGACAGCTCAGTGCCGTTACATGGGAACAGGACACCTGGCTGCAGCCTGCCACAAACCTGCTGCAGGGGCCTCTGGCCCTGGCTGTGGGAGCTGGAGGGGAGGCAACTGCTGGGGTGTTCAGGGCTGTTCCCAGGGAGAACTGGGCTTTCAAAGTGACCCGTGGGCCAATCCCACAGGTGCCATAAGGAGTTACCTGCTTGAGAGTTCTCCTTTCCTCTTCCCCAAACCCAAAGGCAGTGTTCAAGTCTGACAGGAATGCTCAGCATATTTCACATCCCCAAACAACCTCTGGCTACTTGACCTGCCCGCAGCCCCTCTCACCTTCCCACCCTTCCCTCGCGCTTCCAACGTGTCTGGGTTTTGGAAACGGCATTTCTTGTTTCCGTCACCCCCGGCCCCCAGCCCAGCCTCTTTCCTTGCGCTGGTTGGAGTGAAGGAGCGAATAAAGAGCCCTGCTCTGGTTTCAGGATCACTTCAAGGTGACACGATCCAACCAACAATGTCTGCAGTGCGGGGGCGAGCAGAGCATTCAGCGACCTTCCGATGCACCTACAGCTCCAACACCTCCTATGTTTACGTGGCCTGGTATCGGCAGCGTGCCGGTATGCCCCTGCAATACATCCTCCAGAGGAAGGGCCGGGGGGGTTCATACAGCCACACAGCCCCTTTTGCCCGCAAGAGGTTTTCCAGCCAGGCCGATGAGAGCTCCGGCACCTTGAGCATCGCCGCGCTGGACCTGGCTGACAGCGAGCTCTATTACTGCGCCCTGCAGGGACCACGATGAGAGATACTCATGGGTGCGCTGACAATATCAGCTTCCTGCCCTGCTCCCTTTTGCGGTGAGGGTGTCAGAGCCCAGCCCAGGTGTGAGGGAGCGAATGGGCTCTAGCTGGGACACGGGCCGTGGGCAGCAGCCCCTCCTCCAGCTGGCTGGGCAGGGGTCACAGGGGCACGGACAAGGGGAAAAGCAGGCAGAGCATCTCTGCGGGCAGAGCCAAGCGGGAGAGGAGATACAGAGCAGGCCTAGCCACATGGGCTGCCATGTGTTGGGCAATTGTTTGTCCTAGGTAAGTGGAAGGGGGGTGCCACACCCCCAGCAGTGGAGCACACCCCTGCATCCCACCCAGCCCTGTGGGGCTGTGAGGACTCCTCACACCCTAACCTGTTGCCCAAGCTTGAGCACCTGTGTGTCTGTGCAAACTGTGGTGGGAAGAGCCCTGCTGTGCTTTGCTGAGGGGAGGCTTTGGCCACGCAAGCTTAGGGCTGCTGCCAGTGAGAGATGGGCCATTAGTGCACGCCACAGGGTGAGCCCTGGCCTGCCACACATGGTTACTTTCCTGGCATCGCCCCTTTCCTCCTGACAAGACCCAAAGCCAGCGTTCAAGTCCAATGGGGACATTCAACGTAATTCTTGGCTCTGCGTGAGCGCTAACCATTGTGTATGCCTCCATCTCCCTCTCTCACTACCCCACGCTCCCCCTCAGCTTCCCAAAATGCACGGGCATTGGGAACAGCTCTGTTTCCATGGTCCACCCATTTGGACCGGCTCCTGTGATGGACGGACTACATCGCAGTATGTGAATAACCCTTCTCTGGTAGCAAGCATGGTTCAGGTCGACTGAGTGCAGCCTACTGATTCGGCAGTGTGAGGGGCAAGCAGAGGAGACAGGCAGCCTCTGATGCACTTAGAGTGACCCGGTCCTGCAAAGGGGGAGGTTGGAAAGCCGCCAGAGCTCAGGGAAAGCCGGGGCCGACAGCGGCTCTGCACCACCCCAGAGCTGCAGTGTGGCTCCAATTCCCACGCAGGCTGAGCAGCACAGGGAGAACCGCAGCCGAGACTCTGCCCAAAGCCTCCCCAGACTCACTGGGTCCCCATGGAAGGCCCTTATAGCTGGCCTCTGCCTGCTCAGGGCACCTGCAGAACCAGCACAGCCAGAGGAGCGCCTGGCTATGCTGAAAGCTCTCTGTCCTGCATACAGCTTCAGCTTCAAAAACTGTTAACGTGTGTTGGTATCGGGAGGTGAGGCGCCCAGGGCCAGCTGTGGGTGGGACTCACACAGCAGCAGCCAGTTGGGTACTCTGAAGAAATACATGACCCTCTGCCCAGGAAGAGCCATGGCCAGCTCTCAGTCTCTTCAGGCTCCAAGAAGGAGCAGTGGCCCCTGCAGATGAAGTCAGTTAACAGGGATGCAAGTTGCTCCCCTTCCTCCCAAAGCCCGGCTCCAGGTTTGGGTACATACTGGTGCCGTGTCAACCACGTGCATGTACCAGCAGCTATGTATTTCCAAAACAACAACGCACCTTAAACGCTACAGACAAGAGCATTCTTAACAGCACTGCTCACTTGGCTGAGGGTTTTCTTTTTAATCGTTCAGACAGCCTTTGTTTGACCTGCAGATTTGTCTTTCAGATTCCAGCAGAGCAACTTGCAGTCAAAAGAGGAGAACAACATTCCCTCAACATTCCTGTGCCAAATGTCATTTCTGGAGCTCCCTGGGAGAGAAGGGAAGTCAGAGTCAGGGCATTTGTCATGCAGAATGATCCAGGAAGGACAAAAGTGCACCTTGCCTTGTGAATGAGATTGTTTGATGTTTACAGTCGGGACCTCCCCTCAAGGACTGCAAAGGCATCTTGCAAAAAGTCAGAGCTTTCAGGACTTTCCCCTTCTGCTCTGGCTCTGAGGGCCCTGGCGGACACACGTGTGAGTGCGTTTATCATCCATGGTGCCTTTCTGGTTTCTTTGGTTTTGCCTGAGCGCTTGTTTCCCAGATCGGAGAATGTAACGGGAGCAAGAGCTTTTGAGAACACATGCCTGTAGCTGTAGGCTCTTGGAGGTGTGAAGTAGGAGGCCAGGCAAATGTGAGAGTAGATAAAGTGATTGCTTGAGCCCTTGCCATCTGCTCATGCTTGGCTCGTGTGCCTGCAGGTGCTCTTTCTCAGGT